TAAACCGTTAAACCAGACCGCATCCCTCCCGTCTATAAATATCCCCGCCTGGTGAGCATTTCAGCTTGGATTGCGGGTTCGAGACGTAGACGTGGATCTGTTGCCCTCTCATATTAACATTTGTGCTATAAAAAATAAGGGAGCGTCATCACACATAAGTAGGTGGGCAGATTTTGAAAGAGAATTTCACTTCTCCATTGAGTTTTTTCACTAGGAGGAAGGGGCCCTGTGATTTTCCATGAATTTTAATAAGATATTTTAACTTTCGGACATGTTTTTGGCCTTTTTTTTTGTTCCTCTGATGGTCTCAAATCATAGTTATCAAAAATCTAGGTAAATATTACACAACAGTAAACGTGTTCTTTTTTCCTTTTTTTTTCCTTTTGTTTTTTTTGTTGTTGAACCTCTATACAAAACCAAAATTCTTGGTCTTAATGGCTTGAAGGAGTTTTTGTTTGAGTATCTGTTTAGAAGAGTAGAGTGGCACGTAGAGACTATAAAATCTAAATTTAATAGATAGTTTGGAATGATTTAATTTAAAAAAAGCACTTTTAATTAAGGTTAGATAAATAGTTAGTTCAGTTAAATGACAACTGGTTGGATGCAACAGCAACATTCCTGTATAACAGCAGATTAAAGCCGTTTTCCATTCATAAATGGCAATAAATCTTTTCTTTGATTTTTTACAGTGCATGCTTGTGTATTTAGTTTGTTTACCTCTCACCTGGTGATTTATTCGTAGTCGTCAGACTTACGAGGAGCCGGGCGTGATGGAAACCTCGGGTTTCATAAACATGATCTGCCCCCCCCCCCCCTCAGAAATGTAACCGCCATTAAACCGGTTCGGTCCGGGACATAAAAATGCAGCACACCCGACACACATAATGAGCTTTTTTTTGTGGCTCACGGCTTAAAACAAGAGTTAAATCCAGTCATTTCTGTAGTTATTAACATATTGTGTAAAAAAAATGGCAAAAAATAGAAACAAGCTGATTCAGTTCTGAAGATGAACAGATTCCCTCACATCCCATCTCCTATAGTTGATAGATAGATAGATAGATAGATAGATAGATAGATAGATAGATAGAT